TAAATTTTGTTCGAGATTCCTGAAAATTTAGGGTTAATTGAAGAAAATGTTTTGTAATGACTATTGGAACAGTTTTTTGCGTTGATAGAAAGCAATTTACGAATAAAATGTTGGCGAATTTGAACAGAGCAAGAATAACATGGTCTGCAGAGTGTAGTGAATTCGTTTTATTTCACGGTTTCTTATCAGCTGCATACAACCTAAAATTGCAGTTATCAATCTAACTATTAGGTCACGTTTGACATACTTTGAGTTATAAAGTTATGACAAACCACTATAAAAAGGATGGAAGTAAACAAAGTGAAGATCGACGTGTATGTATACATCAGGAAGTATTACTCCAGAGGTTATGTTAGGGCAATTGGATCAGTTAATGATTAGGTAATCGTTCAATATGGTAAAATAAACAAATTTGTGAACACTAATAAGATTGAGTCAGGGATAAATATCAGAAGACGTAAGAATAATAAAAAGCAACGAAAAGGTTGGAGATAAGGTTGAAAGAACGACCAAAATTAACAAAGGTTATTTGACAAATATACGATTATAATGGCAGGGAAAGACTTGTCAAATTTTCTTTCTGTATACATAGGTCAAATCGGAGACGTTTGATAACTCCTGCGAAACGAAGAATGATGCCTTTTGGCTGTTGGTTATTTTAAATGCATCACTTTCATTCACTTCATGTCAACTATCTAGATGTTTAGTAACTGCACCTGTGAAGAATTAAATCTCCAGCTGTAAGTTACTAGGAATTTGTTTGTAAAACTTTGTAGAGGCCCTTCTCTTTGTCCTTCTTAAGTACTTTCTAATGCATGTACATTTAATTTCATAAGTGTGATTGTAGATGACGTCAGAAGTGTATTTATCTAAATTCAGTGATGTAATAAAAACTTGGTGTTGCATGGTGAAACCTGTTGGGCGACAGAGAAGCTAATTTTTAGTACCATCTTGTCGATTCTTCCTAAAATCTAATCTCCATTGAAGGGAAGATGCACGGCGACAGGTTTCTTTCCATGAGTTTGTTGTTTAACATCCTTGAAGTTTTGTTTTCCATATTTCATAATGTGTTTCTTAAGTATCTCTTTTTCCTGAGATGTTTTTTTACAGAACAGCCAACTCCTCACTTATTATCCCATTTGAGCTTGAAATCCAGGCTCTAATAAAAAGCGTTTTGATTAGACACTTTTTGTAACTGATGGTGTTGTGAACGCGAACACAGGTGGGGACAACCAATACATTCTAATACAAAATTCAGAATATCCTGGAAAAATACTTCATTTGCAAATTTCTATAATTTGTTCTTCACATCTCGTATGATTCTCCCCATTTACAATTTATTACTTTTTCCCTTTCTGTTCTCCTCGACCTTATCTTCTCAGCCTTCTGGTGCCAGGCTTTCCATTTCCGATTACTACTACGTACTACTTATGTCTGTCGACATAAGTAGCATACACCACAATAGGAAAAAAACTGTTGAGGTCCAAATTCTGTTCTAAACACGTTTCTTTCCTACACATACTTTACTCAAGATATCCACAATATTTTTCGCCCTCCTCTAAGATCTAAAAAATTGAATTGGTTATTTCCTCCGTACTCCACTGTCAACGTTTTGGCGGGATGAGATTTTTAAGTGGCTAAATAACCAAGAAGCGTGGTCTACATCACCACTAACCAAAATGAGAAATTTGCAACACTTTATCGCTAATGTGTTAAAAGGCTTGAATGTTCTGCACGTGTATATTGTTGACTGATTGTAAGTTATGTGAAAGAGAACCAAGATCTAAAAATAATAATTAAAATAACACTTCTACGAGTATAAAGAAATGACAAATTAAGATCAGTTCGTCGGAATTCTTTGAACACACTCTCGAGGCATTAGTCCATTGGAAAACAAAGTTGCGGTTATTCTGAAAAGCTTGCAACAGATAACAGTTGAGCAAAACAACATGAGTTGTAAAACGTGATTAATTAATTGCATCTCGTTTTCTTCCTTGTAGCTACACACAAGTTGATAATTTTGATTTGTTAGAATTTTTACCATAATATACATTCACATCCCATGCAACTTATTTCTTATTATTCATTTTTTTGGAATATCAACTCATGCTAGCAGTTGAAATTAACCAAATACAGTGACTTGTATGTATCTGAGGAGAAAACAACAGATTATAATATATATTAATCTCATTCTCTAATGGACTTTATTCCGGCATTGTTTGAATCTGTTAAAATACCCCATTCCTTTGATGTGAAGCTTTGAAACTCCAACTGAAAACCCTGTATGACAATTGACAGTCACAAGCCCTTGTTGGTAACCCTACATCTTCTAAAAAATTTGTTGTGCCTTATGAGCGCTGGCCAGGACAACTTCCCAAATCATCAATCACAATCTGATCTATCTCGCGCTCACTAATCACTTGATCTCTCTGACTCAGTTAATTATACACCTGGCTGGTACTTTTTTATATTGAGCCTACATCTAAGTTCCTTTTGGGCTGTTATTAGCAAGCTTCTCACAATACCCTGCCTTCAGACCAAGGTCTTCTACAGACATGGTTTATTTACAGACATACTAAACGGCACCATACGATGAAATAAAAAGTAACAATCAAACGAAAACAAGCCGAAAGTTGTTGTAGATAGTGAGTAATATTCTTATAACATGAATATCTTTCGAGATTCTTACAGTAGGGTGTTCTATCCAAGCCCTGAAAACTTTACTTATCTCAACTTGGAGAATGAAGACAGCGTCGACAAGTTCACTTCCGAAGGATTTAAGAACTTTCGGAAATACCCAAAGACGAGCTGTGAAACCAATACATGGTACCTATCCCAAACTATCATATTTATAACTAATTGAGTAGATGAAACAGAAGTGAAGCTGTGACTTTCAAAATTATAAGTACTCCTGAAATTAACTCCGCTTGTAGCCCCTCCGGGAGCTACTGCCGGTCCCAAGCCCGGATAAAGGAGGAGGGTTGGGCATGGGGTTAGCGAACCCATTCTGTAAAAAACCGACTCGCTAAGAAAACATTAACCAGAAAATTATTCACTCCTGAAATTCTCAGAAACACTTCTCTGTGTTCAGTCTTATCACAAACTATAGAGGTAGCAGTCAGAATTTGAGTGACAAAACAAGTTTGGTCGACGATTTACTTTCTATTTCCTAAGGGTACTCAAGCCTTGGGATCAAATACCTTTCGAAGTGATTCGAATAGCTGCCCGGTACTTTGAGAGGAGACTCCATGTTTACTGAAGGACTTCACATCGTGCTAAAAAATTGTTTCTAGTTATTTTCGTACAACAAGGTGCCACCTACTTACCTATAGGGATTGTTAACCAAATATAACTAGATACAGATACTCGATAGCCTCTTTCACCCCGTCTGCATCCATTTATAGTGATTGGTTTCAAAGTAGATAAAGAACCCTCTTCGAAAGAATTGGAAGAAATTATGACCATATTCTTTTCAGTGAATTTCACATACTGCGAAAAAGGTTGGTACGGTTTTAAGAAAATGCCCCATACACCATAGATATGCCCTCGCAAGTGATTTTCAATGCCAATGCGTAGAAGGATTGTTAGCGGAATATAGATTGGGTTAAAGTGTATTCCATGCAGAATTGTGTTGAAACACGTTGGGCGGCCATTTCTTAACCCATCGGAACTAAAGATTACTTGGAAAACACTCTAAAATCTCCCTACGTAAAATTACAAGTAAACTATCGTTTGCCCTATTATGCTTCTTTTTCCCATTCTACCTTGTTAATTGAAAGATAATTGCCCTCCTGCTCAACTGTGTTCTGATTCTGGGGCTTGTCGAGTGAATTAATGTTCGAAAGAATACTAAGAAATAAGAGTAGCTGGGCTGTAATAAAACCATGACAAGGATATTGAACAGTAGGATATCATGGGACTAAATAAAGACAAAATTATTCGTGACAAAGATTGTACTACTCCTTAATTAGCTGCACACACCCAATATTCAGAGAAATTCCAGAGAGCAAATAGTCCGCTACTTTTGCCCACCAAATTTTGGAGTAAAGATGATTTCGAAGAGCATATGGATTGTGTAATCTAAAGGCCTAAATTAGAGACTAAACGATAGTATGTGGTCAATCAAATGCAGGATCTCAACTGAAAGCGACATTCAGTCAGCCACACAAGATAAAATCAAAGTACTTTAATATCCTGGACGACAGGAGTCACATAAGTAGTAGGTGAATCACTATGATCTGCCGCCAACACATCACGTTTACTTTATACTTGGGTCTGACCATATTTGCTGCCTATGCTTGTTTACTACCGGTCGTGCTAATAATGACTGTAAAAATCAATACCAACTCTAGACAGCCGAGTTATTACACCTTAAGACAAAACTTGTCGCAATCAACGCTAATAAAAAGTAATCATTATTTACTTGTGGTTGATTTTTGCAGAGGCGATATCAGACTAGTAGTAAAACAATAGGGAGAATATTAATATCCTAATAAGTACTGACAACACAATAGAAATAGCAACTTTGTATTGTAGTACAAAACTATAGCAGTTAACAGATTAAGACTTTTAGCAAACATAACAATCTAAACAAACTAGAAAGTTAAGATTACAAAGTTATTTAAAATGCTCTATGCAAAACGACTAATAAATATCTACGAAATCCCCCATATGTTGAATAGGTATCAATTAATGAGCAACAAAAGGTTTTGTAAAATGTCCGACATATGTTATATAACAAAAATTTGCTACGGAAACAGAATATATTTTGTGGAATAATTCCAAAGTGCTAGATGTTCAAAAAGAACATAATCTTGTTATTAGCTAACAAAATCAAAAAATTATGTTTAGTTTAAATCAATTATAGCCAAAAAAATAAAGAAACAAATAAAAAAATCAAAATCACTTAAAAAAATATGGATAACGAATCAGTTAGGATTTGCAAGAAAAACAAATTATGACTAGTTAAAACGAAATGATCGATAACACCTTCCTTACATTTAAAATTCTGAGTAAGGTGTGCTGGAGTCGATATTTACATTATCGGTTAATAAAAACTTGTTTTCTAAAACTGAATTGCTTGGTGTGCAACAAATTCCACTGTCGTTATTTTCTACCTTACATTTACAATCCGCCTGACTGATATCTGACTCCAGATCATCCATATGTAACAAACACGGATTAGCGACACTCTATGTACAAAAATAAAATAATAAACCAAGTGATTTCTTTGCATTATGAGAGAGAATTAATAATCAATTTAATTAAAGAATGACACTTGAAATCGTACAAAGTATTAAAAATGCTTAGACATGTACAAGCCAGCTAAACAAAACATCTTAAAATGACTTATTATAAATTATGTCAATAAATCATTATTGCGTGAGCGAGTAGTAGTTTCATACTTTGAAATTAAAAAGTACTACAACGTACCAAGATTATTTGTTAATGTGCACCTTGTGAAAATAATACTTGTACAAATGAATTAAAAAGGTGGAAACGACTCAATTGAAAATTCTGTTTTACTAAATCATCGTCAGTAAATCATTGACAGAGTCTAGAATAGAGGGTAATAATAAAAATCCTTTACATACAATAACGTATTGTTACCGGTTCACATGACAGTTATAAATAATCTAACATACAAAAGTAAACGCAGATTCGAACGCATTATTTGTCAGAGACTTGTATCATCATAACTAAACTGTTCCAAAAGTCAGCGGACCCGAAGGGAGTGATAATCTCATCAGTGTATTAACACCATACTTGAATAGTGCTTACAACTAGGCGATTAGAACCCATAGCTCATTGATAGAAAACTGAAGTCCAATATAACTTGATAGATATAAACACAAAAAATAAGAAGCCATATCATGAAAAACAACTGATAATATTAACCCAACACTGAGGAAAGTTAAGAGGAACAGATCGAAACAAGGTGTGACTCGTTAATACTTAATGAAACGCTCACTGTTTATCACAAGACTGTGGGCTAAACCACTGAGATGGGCTTGAAATAGGCATGAATTTCGCCCTTGGTACCCAAACACTGAATAACTATTCACAACGAACCATAGATGGGAAACCAAAAGTATGTCCCAAATCTGTCCAGAGGTATTATTTATTTATTTATTTAAACACATATATATTGGTACAAAAGGGCACCAGGTACATATGCGCCACACAAAATAATGAAAGTAGGAAGAGAAGGGATGAAAAGATAAGGCGGACTAAAATGTACAACCAGAAGACTCTTTCAGTTAAGAAAGTTAGAACCATTCTTTATGTAGAAAGTAAAAGAAGGTTGCAGCAGGATCGCCACTGGCTTCTATTCTGAGCCATATCTGATAACGTCTCTAGCCACTGCGTTGCACCATCTCTCGGACCCCAGCCAGGGAGTCGTGAAGGACCAACAGAAGCTAGCCCTTTGCAGCTTTCTTTCAAGCCACGACACCATGTCATACACTGACCTCCTCTCCGCTTTTTCCAACCAGTCCCAGGGTCGGCAAATAATGCACGACGCGGAAGTCTCTGGGACGACATTCGTAAAACATGTCCGAGCCACCGAAGTCGGTGTTTCAAGATGGTGACACCAATTGAATTATCGTCTCTGCGCCCGAACACACGATGCCGAACCTCTGCATTACTAACATGGTGTTGCCACTGGATGTCAGCAATCCTTCGGAGACAACGATGATCGAACACAGAGAGACGTCTAACATCCTCAACTCGGAGAGGCCAGGTTTCACAAGCATAGAGCAAAACTGCTCTCACCGACGCGTTGTAGATCCGACCTTTTGCAGCCATACTAACATCACGAAGGCGTCAAAGATTGCCCAGATTGACATAAGCCGCTCTGGCTTTCCTTATACGTGCATCAATCTCATCACTCACGCCACCACCAGCACTTATATAGCTACCTAGATACACGAACTTCTCAACTACTTCAATCTGCCCACCATCCAGGGTGAGTACAGGATGAGAATCCTGCCAGTCTTGTAGGAGTACTTTGCACTTGGAGGGTGCAAAGCACATACCGTACCTGCGGACACTGATTGACAACTGATTAAGTGCTGATTGCATGGCTTGAGCGTTATCGCACAGTGAGACAATATCATCCGCATACTCGAGGTCGAAAAGTCGTTCTTCAGGCAACATATCTACACCGCCATTACTTACATCCATCAGAGCTGTTTCCAGGATGTCATCGATGGCAAAGTTGAAGAGGAATGGTTTTATCGGGCAACTCTGCCTGAGGTGTTCATGTACAGGGCCTTTAAGATGTTAATGAACTTCTCAGGCACACCCTTCTTCAATAGACAATCCCAGAGAACAGTCCTGTCCAACGAATCGAAGGCAGCCCTGATATCAAGAAACACTACGATTGTTGGCCTGCGATAAGTATGACGGTATTCTAACATTTGGCGGAGGGTGAAGATGTGATCAATGCATCCTCGACCAGAACGAAAACCAGCCTGCTCCTCGCGAGTCAATCGTTCTCGGGTTTTAAACAACCTACGAAGAATGATAGAAGCCAATAGTTTGGACGCAATCTGAAGTAGACTTATCCCCCGATAGTTATTGCAGGAACAACGTGAATCCTTTTTAAAGATAGGGACGACTATCGACTCAATCCATGATGTTGGAACACTTTCTTGTTCCCAAACCTTTCCAAACAACACAGTCAATTCCTTAGTCAGAAGGTCACCACCATCTTTAAAAAGAGCCGGAGGTAAGTCATCTAGGCCCGGTGATTTGTAACGTTTCAAGAGTTGGAGTTCCTTGAGGACTTCCGCCTCGTTTGGTGGAACAGTCGTCACCGGCCATGGGAGGCAGGACAAACTGGTTGATGTTGACGGAGCAGCAGGCCAGTTGAACTGCCCTTCGAAAAATTCCGCCCATCGTCCAAGACGTCGGGAGATGTTAGCGATTGGCACCCCGTCATCCTCGTAGATTGTTTCACTCACACCAGACTTCTTGCTGCCAGTGGCACGGATGAGTTGGAAGAGCTTCCGGCAGTTACCAGATGCAGCTGCTGCTTCCATCTCATTAGCACGCTCCGACCACCAGGCTTCTCGGTCCTTACGCAAGCTTTGCCCGATTTCATTACGTAACAGCCTTCGTTTGTGGTCAAACTCACGGTCACCCGGAGTAGACCGACGGGCTTCGATCAGTTGTAAGGAACCAGAAGAAACCCAGTGCTTGTAAGTGGGACGTTTCGCGAAGCCGCAAGCTTCTTTACTCGCCATTTTCATGGCGCCGTGAAGATGCAACCAATGCTCATCTATACTTTTCGGTGGGATGGTAGCTAGCCTAGAAGCTAGCTCCGCTCGATACTTACTTGCAACAGATGTTGCGGCCAGTTTACTAACATCGATCCGTTGGTGGTGGTCAATCCTTTGGCCACTGAAAAGTAAGGTAAGATTGGCGCAGACCAGGGCATGATCAGACTCCAGATAGGTACTCCAAAAGGAGCGGCAGTCTTGTACACAACCACGCCAGCGGTAGCTGATCGCGATGTGATCAATCTGAGTCCAGGCTTGGGATGCAAAGGGAGGACGCCAGGTGGCACACCGGCGATGACTGTGCCGGAAGTTAGTGCTGGCCAGAAACAGGTTGTGGTCTGTGCACAGTTGCAGCAAACGGTCCCCGTTATCTGTCCTGCGACCAACAAGTCCCCATCGGCCACCTAAACGACTCTCTTCTGTGCCTAGACGCCCGACCTGTGCATTCAAGTCTCCGGCTAGTACTACAATATCTGTCGAACGCGCTTTCTGGAGAAGAACTGTTAACTGATGGTAAAACTCATCCTTGATTGCATCCGGGCTGCAATCTGTCGGGGCATAGGCGGAGATGACGAAAAGACACCGTTTCTCACGCCGATTTCTTCTCACTTTGATGGAACTTTCTAATCTAACAGCACATAACCGACTGTTAATGGGGATCCAATCGATTAGTGCTGCCTCAGCCCTAGCGCTTAGTGCGACACCAACGCCAGTAAGACCAGACGAAGATGCCACAGGGTCCCCGGATAAGCGCACGTGGAACAAGCTTTTCGAAGCAACAGATGGAGAGCGAATGTGTAGTACTTCACTAGAGTCTTGAATACGGGTCTCGGATAGACAGCAAACATCAACATTAAGACCTTCCAAAGACATAGCCAGCCCTATCTGTTGTCTGATATGCATTAGTGTGCGAACGTTGAAGGAAGCCAGCTTGAACGGCGTACGTGGTTTCAGAAAGACTGCTTCAGTATTCATAATTGGTGGAAGCATTCACTTTCAACCAGACAGTGACTGGAGATCGTTTAGATAGGACAGATTTTCCACCATGGGCGAGCTGCTGCATAAGTTGAAAAGTAAGGTTACACAAATTGGGGATAAAAGGGGGTGAGTTAGCGATATGGTAAATAATAATAATAATAATGATAATAATGTAAATTGTCTTGCTTCTAGTATGAGCAGGAATAGCATCGTCAATAGAATTCATCATTTCATTTATTTGTGTGTGGGCTGTGATACTGCCAGGGTGCCCAAACCGAAGCAGGTGGTTTTCTTAGGGGGCCACTCCCCGAGCCTTTGACCAAAAGGTCTGATCCACAAGGCAGTGGAGCATCGTGAGGAGATGCAGTCCCATGGTAGCCGGTGACCAACAGGAGGTTCATTCGCCATTCGTTCCATCAGGAAACTGGAGCCCATGTGCACCATTGGTTTGGAATCAGGGTTTTCCAACTCCCCTAGGTGGACCCTCCGTGTCCACCAACCCGGTTAAAGAGCCGGACATTCGCTTTTCGTCCTCTCACTTTCGTAAACAGCACCCCCACCACGAGAAGGCAGTGAGTAGGACTTCTCTGGCAGAGGCTATATATTCGCTGGCCATGTGAGAGCATTTCGAGAGGGAGAGTAGACTCTCCCCACTCTCGGCCGTACCAGGGCATTTGGGGCACTGAATAACTATTCACAACGAATCATAGATGGGAAACCAAAAGTATGTCCCAAATCGGTCCAGAGGTATATGATACTGTGTATTTATTATGAGTTTTGATCTAATTCCATTGAAGCATATTACACTCCACTTATTAAGTACATAAAAATCCAATCCCAGACAAATAGTAGTTGGATTAGATAGTTCTATTCGAAGGTAGTTTAGTTGAAGGTTTGAATTTCCCTTTCCAATTAGATGTCAACCCACGAAGTTGTTCATCTAACCATTGCAACTTACTGAGGCGAAGATGCACAAAACATGATGATGAAATTTACTTGGTATTGTTTGCTTGAATCTTCCCATTGATGTTTAGAACTGCAATGATCAGTCTCCTATTGGCACATGTGCATGCACCTCGATATTGCCTTAAGTCACAAGAGTTATAAGCAAAGATGGGTGGTGGCTAGCGGTGGAATCCAGGAAAAGCGTTTCATCGTACTCGGGACTCTTCAGCTGCATGTGATCGCATCCAAGAATTGATGTCCACTCTGAGACTCGAATCCAGCACCGTTCGCTTCAATTGCAGTCCTAAACATCAATGGTAAGATTCAAGTAAACAATACCAGTTGAATTTAAACTTTACCCTATTGCACAAACAAGTGGCTAACTGGACTCAGTAGCTAAGTGGATAACGTGATGGCGTTTGAAGCGAACGGCACTATGTTCGAGTTCCAGAGTAAACATCAACTCTGAGATGTAGGTACATCCAGTTGATGAGTCCTAAATAGGACGAAACGCACGTCCTGGATTCCGCCGCTAGCCACTATCCATCTTTGCTTATTGACAACGAGATGTTTATAATATAATTTAGGTCGTTAAAACCTAAAGCTGGCATCACATATTAGCAACTTCGCTTACAAAATGTACCAATTACGAAAATGAACATAAACAATAATATACGTCAGATTTATTAACTAAAATTAAACGAATGATACAATAATCACACGCTATAACGCTAATAGAAAAAAAAACAGACTAAACAATGTTTAATAGTGCAAATACAAGGCTATAAGACTAGATGGAAACAAATTGAATGAAAAAATCTATAAGTGATAAACTGAACAGTTTACATGAAACTGCAAAACAAATTTTTGAAAAAAAAACGATCTCATTTAGTGATTTGTTGTCATTTACAACATATATTTAGATTTTAATATACCAACTTAGTATACGATACAACGAAGCACGATGAAATAATATTAGATAAAATCTAAAGGTTTATTATTTAGTTAAGACCGGAACAAAACAATGTGCTAAACAGAGATAAAATTATCTTGAATTAAAAAGAAAACTATTATACTTCAGAGTATATCGGAATATCGTTGCCTGATAGTAATGATCAAATGTGATGCACTTATCAAATTGAGATTTATGGCAGATTTGTGTAAGAACTAGTGATACTGTCCTGTCAGCCAAGTTGAAACATCTAGAGCTCAGGTCGAACCTGAGATTTATTAGTTGGTAACCAGATATATTAACATGGGTTATGTACAAACACTTAAAAAGACATTAACATTCTGTACAGTGTTTAGACAAATCAACCCATAAACAATTAAAAGACCTGGTGAAATAGATTGATTGTTATAATGAGATGAAAAGATTACCTTAATTCAGCAAATGAGCACTGATTCCATAATCAAATAAATATTTTTTATAAATAATGTGACTAGCTGAAGAAAATAGTTATACCATCTTAGGTGGTTTTCATTAGATGGCTGAGTTTTGTATACACAAATTACGATTGAAACTAAAAAATAATTTAGGTTGTATTAGGACGTGATCCAACGTACTTCGCATGATTTGTATAGTGCTCTAAATAATAAGCATCGAGACCCGACGTCAATTTCAGTTTGAACAACAAAATATGGGTCAACTGTTAGTGGTGAAGTTTTAATGGTTGTAAAATACTTAACCACATAACAATCAAACATGAAACAATTGTTGAATTAAAACTGAGATCTAGTTAACAACTATGTTGCACAGTGGACTCAATAGAACATCGATTTGATTGGTTGCCCCCGAATGCCCTGGTACGGCCGAGATTGGGGAGAGTCCGCTATCCCTCTCGAAATGCTCTCACATGGCCACGCGTATATAGCCTCTGCCAGGGAAGTCCTACTCACTATCTTCTCGTGGCAGGGGTTTTGTTTACGAAATTGAGAGAACGAAAAGCGAATGTCCAGAGCTTTACCCGGGTTGTTGGACCTACTGCTAAAAAAACGTTTTCGTCGGCTGAATTTTCAGGAATTGATCTCCTACCAGGAGGTCGACTTATCGACTTAGAATACGCAGATGACACAGTCCTGTTTGGTGAAGATGCTGATAAAACTCAGAGTCTTTTGGCAGCACTGAGCAACAGTATCAGGATGTTTGGAATGCGTTTATACCCATCTAAATGTAAATTGTTGCGTCAATACCTGAAATAAAAATAGGGAGTGAAGTAGTCGAACGCGTGGACAACTATACTTATCTTGGAAGTCTGATCAGCCCTAATGGGTTGATGTTTGACGAAATCTCTGCACAGATTCAGGAAGCTCGTTTGGCTTTTGCCAACTTACAGGACCTATGGAAAAGGCCAGATATCCGTCTATCAATTAAGAGATCAGTATGCTGAGCAGCAGTTTAATCTGTTCTAATTCATGGTTGCGAAACGTGGCCATTAAGAGTGGATGATAATTGTAAGTTCCTAGTATTCTATCACAGATGTCTTAGAAATATTGCTCGCATCTGCTGGGATCACCGGGTAAGTAATAGTGAGGTTAGACACAGAGTATTAGGGAGTGATGGTAAATCAGTTGATGAGGTTGTAAGTCTTCACCGACTGAGATGTTTGGGCCACGTCTTACGTATGCCTGAACACCGATTACCACAATGCGCTATGCTGACTAGTATTGGAGATGGTTGGAAGAAAGTTAGGGGCGGCCAAACCAAAACGCGGCATTAGTGCTTGAAGTCAATAACTTCTAGTCTGAGCCATGGTGGTAGATGGTTGGAGACTCTGTGTGACATGGCTCAGAATCGATCACAATGGCGTAGGTGTATACACTCTGTCTTCCCTTAAACTATGAGACTAAAATTGCTACATATCTTTCTTTCTGTACTATATCATTATATATAATCCGCCTTTTATATATAACCAGCACTAAATTAACTACTATGAATTTGGTGTTAATCTTGTTGTATTAATGAGGCATTGTGGCAACTTGAACCGACTTATATATGTGCCTGGTCCTACGTTATAACTAACTGAATGAATAACTTTGCATATAAGTAATATTAAAATATCATCATGAGCTATAAATATTTTATACGATGACTATCTTGACCTCTTCTTCGATATCACGAAACATTAAGTCTATAATATGGTTTATTAATGTTTAGTCAAAAAATTAAATTAACCTACCTTTTGTTGTGAGTAAGAAAGTAATTCTAATCCACAGTCCATGGCTGTTGGTAACTCAAACGAATTTAATCGTAAAATCAAACCACTCAAGCGATCAGCTCCCTTCCAAAAAATTGAATTTATCATTGAAATAACTGGATGACAGTTTGTAGAAAATCGATGACAACTCTTTCTGGTATCTGAATCTAAGGACATTGGTATCGTTTTATCGATTGCTTTATTTAGTGTACTAGTCGAAGTTTGTTCTGTTTCGTTCACTGTTTCAAGATACCACTGAGACTCTTTTAAAAGATCCAACAAACTGAGTAAGTGATAAGTACCAATATGGGATTGTTCTAAAGCCCCTACACATCTGAAAAAGCACCGAAATAAACGAAAGTATCATCAATGAAAACCAACTCGTATAAGAAAACAGTTCAGACTGACGAAGTCTACGAAAGACTACAAATTAAATCATATTCAAAACTCACAATTAAATCACGTCATTAAAAGTAGAATTTTCTCGCCCTGCATACAGTATTAAATTTAACCATCAATTTTCGTGATATTAGCTATCGAATTACTGATTAAAAATGTTGGTGTCCACGAAATTATTATCACCAAAAATTAAACATTTTATTTGGGGAAAATTGACTTCAGTGAAGACAAATTTATAAAGTATTGTTTTCCCTTAAAAATTTTAAGCATCATATTGTTATACAACTGTTGAGTCAGTCAGTCAGCTACAACGTAGGACCAGGCACATTTATGCATCGGTCCAAGTTGCCATACCTCGTTAGCACAACAAGATGAACACCGGATTCATAGAAGTAATTAATTTACTGGTGGTAGTAGTATATAAATTATAGGTTGTATATAAGGATATAGTACAGGAAGGAAGAGAGATATGAAGCAATTTTAGTCTCAAGGTTTAAAGGAAGATAAAGAGTGTATACACCTACGCCATTGTGATCGATTCTGAGCCATGTCACCTAGAGTCTCCAACCACTGGTTACGATAGTCACGCGGACCCCAACCAGGTAGTCTGCATCTGCCAACAAGGCTCAGACTAGAAGTTAGTGACTTCAAACACTGATGCCATGTTTTGGTTTGGCCGCCCCTAACTCTTTTCCTCTTGTTGATATTTCTACGCTACGCAGCAATGTGATGTACAGCAACATGGATTAAAACAGACTTGTGCCACATTAGTTACCTCTTTGTTTCCAACTGTGTTCAGGTGATAAAAATTTCGATATTTTCATTGTTCTTCATTTATTTTTCCTTTTCTGACTCATGAGTTCCTTACTTACTTTATTACCATTTCTTTGGTTAAGAAAACTATGGGTGCAATCATTATCAAAAACCGTACATTTATCATGTCCATATAATTAGATTGAAGATAGTCTTCAAAACATGAAACTAGAACATCCACACCATACATTATTAGCCATCAATGAAGCAGAGATGCAATGAATTTATCAATGAACCATAGATGCATTGAGCTGACAATTGTCAATTATTCATTAAAATTTTAGACGACGGCTTGAAGACAATGTGACAGCCTAGTTTGAGATAATATATATCAGACAGAATAGAAACTTATAGAGATTTTATTGCAGCTTCATTTTTCATAGTTGAAATCATGAGTCAATTGAAGCTAGACCACCATGGAAAACCTGGAAGCACTAGACGGCCGTTTCGTTCCATTATGGGATTCCTCAGCAGTGAGCATCCACGATCCCGCCTCGCGAGATTCGAACCAAGGACCTACCAGTCTCGCGCCAGAGCACAAAAGAGTAACTACATGAAATTTATTCTAGTTGCGTATTTAATTATTCTTTTGTTTATTTGTCAGTTTTTCAGATGATTTTCCATCGAATTTGCTGCCTTCCTCGGTGTAGTGAATTTCATGAAGCCCAATTACATGAAGTTTTGATTTTTAATCATAAATAATAAAAAAATATTGAACGCGGGGATATAACTTATAAAACCGAATTCTAAAATTTAAAGTATTTATTATAATGAAAAATGAATGAAACACAAAGATTTACTATACTTAAAAGCGAGTTTTATATGCAGAAAAAACACAAATCTGTACGTTAATTATTATAAGGCCTGATTACCTGGAGATAACATATATTAGAGATTTAATTTGTAACCTCAGAGGAAAACCAACCAGTTTAAAACTCATTGAGCACAAAGATGATCCATACACCCAAAGATGACTGTGAATACAGTTTAAATATGATTGTGGAATTTTTGTACCATCTCTAATAAGTGAACTCAATGAAGAAGGTAACGAAGAGTTAATCGCCCTATACAATTCATTTCGACATGCACAACAGTGAGCTACATTTAGGCCGATCCCAGAGCCGCTAATTAATTTTTTAGGTGCGGAACCAATAAATTTAGAGGATTTGACCGTTCGAACAACTGAACTTGTTTCAGGGTAGCGATTTTGATTACTATCTGAATCATTATGTATTTTACTGGATACAAGTGAATCACAACTATGTAATCGACGAATCCGTGGAGAGTTTCGTGATTTCATTCGAGAAATATTTGAAAATTCTCTTGGAGTTTGATGTATACGACAAGCGATAAAACCTGATCAAAAAAGAAACGTTCCAATTTAAAATAAATGCAACTGTTAAATAACAAAACAATAATATGCATTCAGGATGTTTTTATTTTTGTCGAAAAGGTAATAGGCTATACATAAGTCAAGAGTAGCATCTGTGATATGATAACAAAAATGGAACATTTAGTTAATCTAATATGCCCAGTAACATAAAAGTGATTAGGATTGAGAAATAAAGTTGTAGAAGAACAGACAATTAGAGAAAGCAAAGATGAGAACGAAGTTCAAATATCAAGAAACTAAAGAGTGATATTGGACACTGGAAATTTTCAGCAAATACAACATTGACAAAGGTTGAAAGTTATACCTTAATAGCGTAGGGCCTAGAATGTTAGTAATGGTAGTTTATGTGAGCACAAAACAACACTGCTGGCTATTACTGTTACCATCTTAGTTGTCAATCATATAAAGGATCAAAAAAATTAAATTTATAATCGGATTTACTCAACTAGTCTAACGATTATTTATCTTTCCTGAATAAATAATTAGAAGGAAGCATGGCTGTCAACATATATACACCAGTCAAGAGAGTACCTGATAACGTCTGTCATATATTATTTGGTCAGAAGTGTCAGCAACAATATTTAAAAACGGTGGGAATCTTTCAGGTAATTAGGGGATCAAATAAAGCACCTGTCAAATACTACACCTACAGTTCGACATAATTTCTTAAATTCTCCTAGACGAAACTACAGTGTTATTAATTGTTGAAAATTAGTATCAGATCCGAAATAGTTTGACGGATACTGTCATTAAATACAATTTTATTAGGATGAAATTAAGTGCAAAATTAGGTGTTGATTTAAATGTGATTTTCAATAATTAAAATATTCATATGCATTAGCTTTGTATAGATTTCGTTCAGAATGACAAAGTCTGTTGATAATAAGTACTATGATTAGGTCTGTATATAAATAAATGCCTTCAAATGGTTAATTTCAAGTTCCTCTCAACAAATCATCTGAACAAACTCGAATTTTTGCTTTCAGCTAATGGTCAGGGTACAACAAAACAGGAAGCAGTCTCGTTTATTGGCACTGAATTCGGAGTTTGAAATTATTAGCTAAATGCACAAACGTTAAACACTCCATAGAAATAACTCTGGCAGTTTGGATACGTTTAAAGTAATGGTATTTGAGAGTCAATCACAGTGAATATTGTTGAATTTGAAAACTGATTAAATAAATGAACAGATAGTTATTCTGCGACATGATGAATACGGTTAACATCTAGATGTTTTGTATTTAGCCTGCGATATTATATATTATTAGTTAGAGCTAAAAATCGAGTTACACGGGGAACACTGACTTGGTGAGGAGCGTCATAGAGCACAAAACTTGGTCTAATCCTTCTTGTCAACTGTCTCCAACCACCCAACACGCGACGTCAAGTCACTTAGACTAGTGACCACATTGTAACTCAGTCGATATAATTTCATCAGAACTAAGGATTAGAAAAACATGATATTGGTTATAAATCAGTAACTAATCAATGTCATGGTGACCCAGATGTATGATGTCTTTAGAAAAAAAACCTAGAGAAACAACCAAAGATTTCTTGAGGGGAGTTTCCGATAATTGTTTCTTTTCTATGCCCATCACTTGTGTGAAAGGTAATAATACCATACAGCTATACAAAACAAAGTAGACAGAACCTCGAAACCCGTATATTTTAACAACCAAGCCAACGTCTTACTATTAAGCCTCATTCGCTATTTTATATCCACATAGTATTACATAATTTGGCAGTATTTGTGTCTGAAACTTCCTTGTAGTGAAAAACTTTATTCTTGATATCTAGAAATTAAGCGCTTTTTTGAAGTCATTAAATAAACAAGAACCAGTAAAACACAACAGACATACCACGTGTAATTAAAAACCGTAACGCATCATCATAACCTTGGTTGGCTAAGTTGACCAACTGATCAGGAGCCATTGGCCACACCATTCCCACTAAACGTTTAATATTTGTTAAGTTGAAGCTCATTGAAAGATTCAGTAATGAGATTGAACCTAACACATCTTCGTACTTTTGTGGCTGAGCTCTATGATACTGTGGGCCCCATTTTGATTCTAGTGGACATATATCTGAATCACCAGCAAATGGACTAACTTTAATAGTCTGTTGGTTTATGCTAAGTAAATTGTTTGATAAACCGCCATCGACCACAGGCTAAAAAAATAGATACACCAAAGTAATCACTATCATGAGGGTATACCATGAATAGTATTTCAAATTTATTATGATATGAGCCGTCACTACTCACATTAATCACTTTTAAACTGTAAATGAGGTTACTCCATCCAAACAGGAAATTGTGTTATCATTGAACAGTAGTTCTAACTTGGAAAGAAATTTGGATTTCCAGTTTAGTAAACATGATGTCCCAAAATATGGCTGAGACAAATATTAGTAATGTCTACAATTATAAATATATATAAATAGCTCCGTAAATCGGTTTACTTTTAGTATGATCTCTTATTACAGAAGAGATGATAACAAACTAACGAGTATTCGGAAAAATATTGAGTATGATAAATAGTTTTCTTAAACATCAGCAACTAGATAATCTTCTAGATTTTTGGAAGATCTCAACAAAAATGCGGTGCTGTTAACAATGAACTTAGAAGGGATAAGTTCTGAACAGAACGAGCTGACCATAACGCTAAAAAATAAAGATATCTAGTAATGAAATGAATATCTGAAGGAAGTTAGGAATCTTTACTTTTCAAACAGTATCCTTGTTATTATGTATGAAAAAGGAGTATCCAGAGGAGATTACTAATGATTCGGACAGAATATATTTAGAGAAGTCAGTATATATATCAGCCGTCAAATCGATTGGTTAACGCACTGACCAGACATAAGAATATGAGCATGATAAAAGGTATAACATAACAACCAGCTCAAAAAAATTAGACTCGGTTGACAACACCTACATATTTAGTTGTGTTTAATTCAGAACGATCCAAGTGAGTAGAAGATAAATAACTGGGTTCGTTGAGCTTAACAACTAAACGAACAAGTATCGGGAGTTAAAATTTATCATCATTATTAGTTTGCAATTTGGTACTGGAATGGAAATTTTCGGACGTCACAAAAACGATAAGTAGAACAACGATAATTCAAATGAAGAGGACAAGATTATCACGCTTACGAACAATGTATACTTGTAAGTCTAACAGAATTTGAGCAACCGCCCTCTGAACAAATCATGTAAATATCCACATCGAAAAGATTATATACAAAAGACGAGCACCTTATAAGCTTGAAGTTTGGGCAAGTATACTAAACGGAAGCGATCCATCGGACATTAACCTGTTATAGATCGACTACGTGTGTAATTCAATCGATTTCATCTAAAATATAACGTTTGAGATAAGACGAATAAGGGACATGATTTCCGTGATAGACGAGGTAATAGCACCTGGAAATCTGTATCAGTTTAAGTTTCCGCAGTTAATATCAAAAGTGAGGGATTAACACGACAAAAAGTGAAGAAATTGAAATGAGTATACCAACGGCAGTGGGAAGTTACGAGAAAAAACTTCAGGGGAACATATAAGAGAGAAATAGAAAGCGTGTAAGAATGCTAATCTCAAAATTGAAAAGAGCAATTGGTATATCTACAACATACACATTTTAAGATACTACATCTTGATTCGTCTAGTATACATATACATCATTGAGTGGATGTCAACTAAGAAATTTGTGCTTTTCGAGGCTACAGTAAGCTACTTCACTGGTTGTCTACATGTTTTAATCTATTCAATTCTCAACTTCTTCGAACCCTCTGTTACGCTACCCAGCATTTCGCACCGGGGTAGACAATAGCTATGCACTATAACACAATCACCGAGTACCTTAGACGGCTAATGTTCGCAAATTTATCAATCCCTTGGACTGTAGCTTGACTATATGTGAATAATGTTTCTAAGACATCTCAGTCTGTAGCTCCTCTAGAGTTACTGCCGGTCCCAACCTCGGGTAAAGGAGTAGGGTTGGGCATGGTGTTAGCGACCCCATCCCGTAGAAAACTAACTCGCTAAAAAACGCTAACCAGAAAACATAATTCAAACCATTTAAACTCTGCCCTGGGAGTTGAAGGAATAATTATGACGCCTCAATATGAAAGCCGAAATTTTTCCGAAGTCACGAGGCCGACGCACCTTTTAACAACCAGGAAAACAATCTCTATAAGTAAATGAAACGTCCGGACAATACGGGAGACAGGGAGGACAGGTCAAACAGCAACGAGAATGAAGATATCAGTCAGTCACAACGCAGAACTTCGTACGTACGTACATCAGTTCGAGTTTCCATACCACATTAGCACAGAGATGCAGTTGTCGATTTAAATCCCATAGTGGTAGAAGTAGTAAGAGTTAAAGCAGTAACCAGAAAGATTATTACCCCAATGCTAAAACTAAAATACATTTTTTTATTATTATTATTTGAACACATAAATATTAGTACAAGGAAGCACCATATATATATGCGCCACACAAATCTCATTCCATTTGTGTGAGGGCTGTGATACTGCCCAGGTGCCCAACCCGAAGCAGGTGGTTTCCTTAGGGGGCCACACCCGGAGCCCTTGACCAAAAGGTCTAGTCCACAAGGCAGTGGAGCATCGTAAGGAGATGAAGTCCCATGGTAGCCGGTGACCAACGATTGGTTCATACACCATTTGTTTCCTCAGGATACTGGAGCCCATGTGCACCATTGGTTTGGAATCAGGGTTTTCCAACTCCCCTAGGTGAACTTTCCATGTCCACCAACCCGGTTAAAGCGCCGGACATTCGCCTTTCGTACTCCCAATTTCGTAAACAACACCCCCGCCACGAGAAGGCAGTGAGTAGGACTTTCCTGGCAGAGGCTATATACGCGTGGCCATATGAGCGCATTTCGAGAGGGGGAACGGACTCTTCCCACTCTCGGCCATATCAAGGCATTTGGGGGCAATACATATTTGGTTGTAAGCAGCTGATGAGAAACCATGAAATATAATGAATTCATACTATTCTGCATCAATATTTGTTCTGTCTTCATTCATAAAGGGAACTAACTGCAGGAAAGATTAGGGTTTGAAGATGTTATTTAAGGAGTATAATCTAGTCAAATAAATTTGGACAAAGACAACTAATGTAGCAGCAGACTCTGCATCAATAGGCCCCAACATACACAAAGGAAAAAGCAAGATTCTCAAATACAACACGGAGAACATCAACTCAGTTACACTTGATGGCGAAACTCTGGAAGACGTACCTGGAAGCATCATTGATGAACATGGAGGATCTGGTGCAGACTTAAAGTCAAGGATTGGCAAAGCAAGGACCGCATTTCTACAACTGAAGAACATATGGAACTCAAAATAACTGTCAACTTATTTCAAAGTGAGAATCTTCAATATGAACGTCAAGACAGTACGAATGTATGGAGCTGGAAAGTAGAGAGCTACTACAATCATCGTCAAGAAGGTACAAGTATTTATAAACAGTTGTCTACACAAAGTACTCAATATTCAGTGGCCGGATACCATCAGCAACAGCCTTTTGTGGGAGAGGACAAACCCGCTTCCAGCTGAAAACGAAATTAGGGAAAGACATTAGGAGTGAATAGGATATGCATTACGGAAATCACCAAACTGCCTCACGAGGCAAGTCCTGACTTGGAATCCTGAAGGGAAGCTGAAAAGAGGAAGGTCAAAGAACACATTACGCCAGGTATTGGAAACAGACATAAAAAGGATGAATGTCAACTGGAAAGAACTGGAAAGGATTGTTCACGACAAGGTTGGATTGAGAGTGCTGGTGCGCAGTCTATGCTCCTCTATGAGGGGTAACAGGTGTAAGTAATTAGGTATAACAAGGAAACTAAGTATCACTCGGTTAGTCGGCTACAACGTAAGACCAGGCACATATATGCATCGATCCATGTTGCCACACTTCATCAGCACAACAAGATGAACACCAAATTCATAGAAGCAGCTACTACAATGGTAGTAATATATAAAAGAAAGATTGCATATAAGGATATAGTACAGGAAGAAAGAATTAGTTTGTAGAAAGAAAAATATAAAGCAATTTTAGTCTCATAGTTTAGGGGAAGACAGAGTGTATACACCTACGCCATTGTGATCGATTCTGAGATATTGTCACATAGAGTTTCCAACCATTGGTTACGATAGTCACGCGGACCCCAACCAAATAGTCTGCATCTACCAACATGGCTAAGACTAGAAGTTATTGACTTCAAGGACTGATGCTACGTTTTGGTTTGGCCACCCCTAAATCTCTTCCAACCATCCCCAATACTAGTCAGCATAGCGCATTGTGGTAATCGGTGTTTAGGCATACGTAACACATGGCTCAACCATCTCAGTCGGTGAATACTTACAACCTCATCAACTGATTTACCATCACTTCCCAATACCCTGTGTCTAACCTCACTATTACTTACCCGGTGATCCCAGCAGATGCGAGCAATATTTCTAAGATTTCGAGACTCAAGACTTGAGGGAAGGTAGAAAATGAATATACCTCCTTATCAGTTCACTCGATGTCTCCAACAATTCGTGACAACTTTGCATACCTCAATCAGGAAGTCTGTATCTAACGTCAATTTAGTCCAACAGTGAGTGACTTCGCATCCCGACCGCTGCTGCTATCTTGATGTTGTGGCCAGGCTTACCTATCCTGATGAACCAATAGAACTATTCTGGCTGGAACAATCGTTCCTCAAGGTCCTACCATGACAAGTAGATCATTTGATAAACAATAAGACTGAAAGCGGCAAACTCAAGGTCCGAGGGCGAAGTCGTACTACTGATTGTATAGAGGTGTGACAGTAGTAAGGTATTTCCTTCAAACTGAAAGCATGACAGCGATGCTATCTTTCCACAAAGGAAGGGTGGGTTTACAAAAGGTCGACCCTAAAAATGCACACCTTACCTTATCCCGTGGACTTCCGTCTCCGGAGGTAAGGTCTTAACAAGTACAGAGCTAACACGAAAATTGCTCGTAAAAAGGCCGTGTGTGACCAGACTTAAGCAGTTATCCCTTAGGCACTACAGTCACGCTTTCAGGTCACTGAAACCAATTCCAATCCGAATTTATTTTCAGGTGCCTCTAGAAGAACCCTTCCACGGTATTGACAACTAGGAAGCGATA